GACTTCTTAACTTATATTGCAATTATAGTGATATATATAATTAAAATGCATATAAATAGATAATTAAATATTAATTTATTTTAGATACAATCAATCACATAAATCTTTTGTTAAATATATTTTTATATAAATATATTCTGTTCTTCGAATATAATTCTAATTTAAATATATTCTGTATTTCAAATATAAATTCCAGTTTAAGTATATTCCGTATTTCGAATATGTTCTGTACGTAAATTTCATTCATTAACTTTTAAAAAAACTGCAAAGTACAGTATTTCCCTTAAAAATTTTCAATTTCAATGCTTAGCCATATTAAGAGCATGATTAAAAATCTAAAGAATAAAATTGTATAAAAACAAATTGAGATATTAAAAAATTAAAAAAAAAAAAAGATTATTGCACATTAATCGATTAAAAAAATTTGCATAAATTGATGTCAGAAATGGAAAAGTATTAAGAAAGATTTGCATATTAAGAATTAAAACAAAAATAGAGCAAACACAAACTTTGATAACCTGGTTGAAGTTTGAGGATGTCGCACTGCTTGTTTTATGCAAATCTTTTGTTTCAATTTGATTAAATTGTTGCTTACTTTTTGCAATCCTTGCAATTTGTAAAATACGCGAAAAACCTTGTAAAAAAAACTTGCTCATTTTATTTATTAGTATTAAAATTTTGCAAATGATAATTTCTAGCATTAAAAATTATCGAAACTTTCCGTGTATTTATTATTAATAATTCTAACTAAATTCAATACATAAAAAATTATAATTATTAGTAATAATTACAAAATTTGTTATTTATTTGAAAATTTAGTATTTACAATTTTAAAAATTAATAAGTACTATTTCTGACATTTATTTCGTACATATTTGTTATTAAAAATTTCAGATTTGTTTCTAATAACTTATATTTCTGGACTTTTTTTTAATGATCTGTTTCCTGAAAAATGAAATTGTGTAAAATAAATACAAAAACAATAAATAATTAAAAGCTTTTTCACTGATTTTAAAAACAACTTTCATTACTAATAGTGGATTTTTTAAAATTTGCATATTAAAATACTGATCCAGAAATAGAAGTTATTTCTGGATCAGTATTTTAAATATAAGAAATATAAGTATTTTAATATGCTAATGTACTATTGCAAAAATTTGAATAACAAATATATGAATTAATTACCTTTATTATTTTCATCATCAAGTGATTGCTTAAGAGGTGTGATATCCCTGAACTGACATAAATAGAGTACGACCTGATTACGATCATTTTTTATTGGGGCAATATGCACCAAAAGCCACAATGGACTTTCTGAAAGCTTTTTTCAATCAAATTAAAGTTTGAATCCAAAATATTTAGTAAAATTACTTGGTTACAAATCAATTGATTATTATCAATTAATGTTCACAGTCAGTTATAATTTTAATAATAAGTTAATTCCAAAATTCTCACCTTAAAATATGAATTTATGATATTACTTAAAAATATATATACTTGCATATATTAGCATAAATCTTTCATTTTGAGAATACAAAAACAAACTGTTTTTTTTGCATAAACCAATTTCAGTTTGCTCATTTCGACATGAATCTAAAGCATTCTGAATCTTTTTTACTGCTTCTGGCTCACTATAATCTGCGTGCATGAAAGAAAGTCTGAAAATTATAATCCATCTACCATTTATGAAGAACAAAGGTTCAAAAATATCATCAATTTTTAGTATCAAAAATTTTTTTGATAATTAAATATGTATATTTTTGTGAAGAATGAGCTATTTGAAATCTGATTCCCAAAGTGAAAAATGTTTTTTTAATTAAAAAAAAAATTTTTTTAAGATTAAACAAACTTACGAGCATGGCTTTTGCATAATTTCGGCTCTCGAATATCCAACCATTTTAGCAAAGCCGTCGTTACAGTACACAATAGGATATTCAACTATTTGAGCATTTGCTAATATGAAGCTGGTATCTGCGAATGTGTATAATAAAGATTAAAATCATGATTAAAATTATTTATTAATAAAATTAATATTTTGCTTTTTAATTAAAAATTTTTTAATTTAAAAGAATAATCAAAAATGTTTAGTTTTTTTCCCAAAATTAATGCTTATAAATACAAATTGAAAGCTAAGTACTTTAATTCATATTACAAGTCGAAACTGTAGAAGTAAGGATAATAGACTATATTAATTTTATATCTTTGTTTTATTAATGTTGCTAAACACCTTAGAAACAAAAATTAATATTGTAATTTATTTAAGTATTCAGATATTTAAGTATGTTTTTATTTGTATTGCTTTATAATGTCTGAGAATCTCTGATCACTTAATCTTCAAAACAGATGATAAATTTGATATTTTGGAAGTAAAAGATTAATAATAGTGCATATTTTATTATTTATCAATTTCAGCAAACTGCCAAATAAGGAAACAAACAATCAAAGTAAGCATTACTGATTCGTTCTTATTTCACACTTTTAAATCATTTATTAAATTTAACCTTAATCTCAGCAATAGTGTCAAATAATCAACGGAAAGTGCTATTTCATACCGCTTGACATATTTTCATATTTTGCTTGAAATGAATAAATTAAATTTACAGTTAAATGATTAATTACTATTATAAGTGGTAAAAAATAAAAATTTTAAATAATAATTATTTTGGTAATAATTAAAACTTTACATCAAATTTAGCCCTAAAACTCAGTAAAATTAAACTTAATATACTAATAAATATTATAATTGAATTCAATTAAGTGATATTTGTGCATATTAAAGTTAATGAAGTTATTTATCCAGAAATATTTTGGATATATTTGCCATGAGCGTGATTTCAATTCAATTCAGAAATAAATGTTCTAGCAAATAATGACATTATGCATTTTAATATGCTTGATATTGTCAGTGTGCTTTGTAGTATGCAAAACTTAATCCCAATTATTATAATAATAGATTAAATCTAAAACGATTTTACTGCTAAATCAAGAATTAATAATTGGCAGTATCAATGATGTTTAAAAATAAATAATGATTTTGCCACATGTAGTTATAATTTCACGGAAATTAACCACCTTCTCGTTTAAGTATTACTACATTAATTTACGTGAGACCACGTGAGATTACAATGTAGACCACATTTCGTTAAGAAAAAGTTTCTCACAAAAAATAAGTCATCGTTCGTGATAACGAATTCAAAATAAAAATTATTAATTACAAAAATTCTTTCAGTCAAAACCAAATAATCAAAAAAAAAAAGTGTTTGCATAAATTTATTAATTTTCATATCAGAAAATGATAAAGACAAAATAAAACATACCGGCACTATTACAGCGTCTGATGACATTTTCGAGGAATGTATTTTGTGGAGCGACAAGTCCTCGTTTGGCCACAGGCATAGCAACAGAATCTCAATGCCTCATCACATTGATAATCATGATTACTGAGTGTTGTCTATCATTATACCAGCTTGATTAAGCAAACCAAAATTACTCTCTTTGGTACTGATCGTGTGCTTAGTGGATATAGCTACTCGTTGAAAATCATAATTCTGCTTTGTTGTACTTCTAAATGTATTGTGTAAACAAGTAAATAAATTCTTTATAATCGTTTTTGAATTAAAGAAAAGTATAAAAAATTATTAAGAAAAGATAGCAATCAAAAATAATAATGGTTCAAAATAATAACAAATATTCAAATTTTTTCGCAAAGTTTTAAGGATAAATTTTTTTAATTTTAAAAACTTAAATAAATTTTAATTAATAACTTTTTATGCTTTTTTTAAAGTTTATTTACATAATATTATATAAAATAGACTATATATTAAATTAAAAAAATAAACATATTACTATTACTGCTAGCATCACTGCATTGAGTAATTGCAATTCTCTTACAGTCATTTTATTAACAAAATTTTAGATGTCTAAAAATAAATATTCAAATTGCATTTGCTTATCCTTAAAGTTTTTTTAAAAGCTCAAATTTTGTCTATAATTAGTAGAAAAAATCGTTTTTGTCGTGATAGAGAGAAATAATTTTTTGATCGAATAAGTCGAAAATTATTCGAATTCAAAAGTCTTGTAATTTTTCAAATTTTTATCTAAAAATTGAACAATTCCAAAATATAGGAGGCACTTTGTCGATATTTTAAATAATTCGCGTGACAATGACGTGATGTGATTTAATATTTCTGCCTTCCTCAGGTCGTTAAGGCTTGCTTAACTTTAATTAATTCAACTTGATGACCTTTTCTTGCATTTGAAATTTTTTTGCTCACATTCGAAGCTAGAAATTTTATTTTATTATCAAATCGTTTTGCTTAAATTGTAAAACCCAGAAAGCTATGAAATTAATTATAAATTATAAATTGATACCTTTAATTTTTCATATTAATTGTTAAAGTAATTTACTAATTTATTTATGCTTTTAACTTTAACAAAACCTTGATAATTCAGTAATCATGAATGCCAATCAATCGATATGTAATTGCTTGAAAAACAATTATTTTAAGACACAAACTGAATTGTAAGGATTTCAGATATCATAAAAATTTAACAATTGTTGTAGAAAAATTTTGCTAAAATCAAACAATTGCATATCGATTGATCGCTATGCAATTGATAAAAATATTCAAAAAGAATAAAAATTATTTTGAGCATCAAAAATTATCGTAAAGTTTTGTTTAAATAATTAAATATTATTTTTTGACATATTATTTAATTATTTGAACAAGATTTTCCTCTGATAAACCCTTTTTACTAACTTAGTCTCTTTTTTCTTGAATTTTGTAAGTATTATTTTGAATTAAGTAATTAATAGAATCTTTAATTAAATTGCAGCTTAATCTTTTTTTACATTTAATAAGCTTCATGAATTACTCGTGAAAAGATTAATACAAATGTTATTTTTTCTATCAATTTTTGTTACTACAAATGCTACATAAATTCAAGTATTCATATAATATTTTTAGTGCTTATTAAAAGTGTGAAAAGCTTGAAAAATAGCTATGTGAGAAAATTTGCATTTTTTCACATGCTTAATTTTTTAGTTAAAAAAAAACTAATACTTCATCCGTTTTCTTGACGTAAAACATTGCTACGTCCGAATTAGTTTTATCTTTCCATTAATATTGTATTTCCGAAGTCAACTTTTTATAGCCATTAATTTTATTATTATCGAATAAATTCATTTATTACCAATGCTTTTTATGTTAAAAAATTCCAGCATAGCACATTTTATAAAAAATTTTAAAAGCTTTTTAATGAGTATATATATTGATTAAGCAAATTTTTTTCCTAGTTTACATACAAACTAAGCCATTAATTTTTGATGTTTTAAAAAAATGCTTAATTTTATTAGCATTTTTTAGTTATATAATAAATATGCCACAAAAAAAAGTTCTTCGAAGAGTATTGCAAAGCAAAAATTCTAAAATCATGATTACTGATTGAAAATATAACTATTAATCTTAATCTCTTGCTTGTATTTCTATTATTATTATCGTATAATCTAAAAATACAGTATTAACAATTGCAGAAATAATGTTATACCTACAGTGACATGCATGACAATATAGCAGTAATGAAATGTAATGTTAAAAACTAAGTAATGCTGAAATATTAAATTTTTTTTGATTAGTACTGATAAAAACTAATTCTTATCATGATAAAATATCAGATAAATCATGATAACTTTTTTAATTACGATAACATTTTCAATATTATAGTGCTAATGAATGCATAAATATGTAATATTATAAAGCTGATCTCGATAAAACTAAAAAAACTTAGCGAAAAATATTTTAATCAAAATATAATGAATTTAATTTTCTAACAAATTTTCTAATAATTTTTATTTAAAAAAAAAATTGAATGAAATTTAACTAATGCAAACATAGTATATCAGTTTTGTTGATACAAGTTAATCCTTTATCACTACATTTCTGATTACTCTCTTATCACTACATTACTGATTACAAAACAGTAGTGCAGTTATGAGTTACAAAATACTAGTGCAGTAATCAATCAGTTACAAAAGAGTAGTACAGTTAGTTATTAATTACAAAACAACAAATAATCATTGCAAATTAATTGTCGTTAAAAATGTGCGTGTAAAAAATTATAAATATTAAGTGATAAATACGCTTTACTTTTGAACTATTCAAGTATAATAATATCAAAGAGGTAAAGTAGAAGACATTATCAGACAAGAAAAGTAAATTCATGATATAATTTGGTAAAAATATGAGAAATTTGATGGGTTTATTTAAATATTCATTTTCATTTTAGCATAGCAAAATGCATGCATATGGCAGAAGGTTCTTCTCTTTGTTATTTTTGCATTTTTTGGCATTCATAAGTAATTCTCGAGAAGAATTTGCAATTTCAGTACGGATATCTCTTGAATGTGTTGTTGTCATTCAATGCAAACCAAATTAAGCACAAATAAATCAACGAGCAATATTATTTTGGTAATTTGATCACATTTTTTAGTTGCTTTTTTTTGCTTGAGAGTAAGCTTTAAAAAAAAAGTCTGCTACAAAAAATAGATCAATCTATTTTAGATTTTTGCTAACTCTAATAAGCTTACATAAATATTCAATAAATTTTTAAAAAAGCAAAAATAATAATTATTTAATAAACAAAGTTTTAATAAAAATTAAATACTGCAATTAACTAATAATATAAATGTAATTAAATTCAAAAGATTGCTTAATAATGAATATTTGAATTTAAATAATTGCATATGATTCAAGTTATCAAGTAAACAATTAACAAATAATAATTAAATTATCAAATGACCAATTAAGTTTATGAATGATTAAAAACTTAACAAGTTATAAATACATACATTAATGATGCAAGAAAGCAGTTTGCTAACACGCAAAATATTATAGCTCATAAACATTTAAAAAAGCAAATTGTGAATATGTTTACTGCAAAAAATTTTGAAAAAAAAAAAAAAAAAAAACTTGTATGAAAGTAAAAATAAAATTAATACGTGAAAATTTTTTTGATCAGTGATTACGCAAAAAATTGCAGTGATCTTTATGCATACTTATCTACTTTTTTCTATACGTAAAGCAAATTATGTAATTTACGTCAAACGATACCAAAATTTATCCGCATACTTATGTGTAATAAATTCCTGTTCTATTTCATTTCCGTTATTATCTATCCAATTAGATCTTATTCAACCATCACTCTATCTATCTATCTATCTATCTATCTATCTATCTGCCAATCTATCTATCAGTCTATCTGTCTATCTATTTGCATTTTTACCTATTTTTAGCGATTATGCTCTTTCAGTATGCAAGCAAATGCACTGAATGAATTATTAGACAGTGAAACAATCTACAAATAAAATATTCCTTCAGAATATTAATTTCATATCGCTAAATTTAACATAATGCTCGCTAATTACACGTTTTCAATATTACTTCAAAGGCTTGCGAGATTTATTAATAATAAATGCAGCAAAATAAATTTCGATCATAAATAAACGACTAAAAAGCACTGCTCGTTTTATGCAAAAAAAAAAATAAGTACATTTGAAATGATATATTTATATGCGTTATACTTTTCCAATATTATTTTTTATTTTATGTAATATTTAAATATTCCAATTTATCTATTTGTATTGCTTTTATGTTACTTTAAGCGTCCTAAAATGAAATATTTAAAAATAAACTTAACAACTTGTTAAAAGCAAAATTTTTAAAAATCAACGCAAAGCTTTTATCAAAGTAATAATTATGAATTACTTTTGATAAAAGAAAATAAAGTAAAAAAGAAAAAGTAAAGTGTTACATAGTTGAAAAGAAAACTTTGAAAATAATTTGTAAACAAGTAATGATTGTGTTACTGAATACGTCACAAAGAGCAATGCAAAGTTAGCATGCAAATTACTTTGTTAGCAAAAAAGCTTAGTTAGCATAAATGAAGCGAAATGAACTGAATTGAATGGAATTGAATTGAATTGAATTGATCTGAATAAAACAATAAAAAATGACAAGTTCCAGGTCAAAGATGAATTGAATTGATCTAAAAAAAAGCAATGAAAATGACAAATTCCAGCTTAAAGATGATAAAAATTGAAATACTAAGAAAAAAAAAGAATTCTTACACTACTCTATGCTCAATTCAAGGAATCAAACTTACGTTTGTAAGAAGAAATCTTAGAATTTTTATTAAACTTTCAAGAAACCAACTGAATGAAAGTTAAATGAACTAAACTGATTTGCTCTGAGCTAAAATGAGTGAGTTCAACTGAACTAAACTGATTTGAACCGAACTTAATTTAAAGTAAACTGAACTGAACTTATAGCTGCTAGCCATGTGCTTTACTTTTTGAGTTAATTTTAAGTCTATCAAACGAAATGTCTTGCAAATTACAA